TGGGGGATTCTAGGCAGGGGCTCTACCACTGAGCCACACCCCAGCCCTCACTGGGGGATTCTAGGCAGGGACTCTACCACTGAGCCACACCCCAGCCCCTCACTGGGGGATTGTAGGCAGGGACTCTACCACTGAGCCACACCCCAGCCCCTCACTGGGGGATTGTAGACAGGGGCTCTACCACTGAGCCATGCCCCCAGTTTTACTCCTCCTTCTGGAAACCAAATTAAATAGCCAGCTTTGACTCTATTAAGACTTCTCACGAGGGAGACACTGGCTGAAACTATACTCAACACAGGACTCCTGTTCATGCTGAGTTCTGACACACCTCTTCATCTAGTGGTTGAGAAATCACTTCAGGGAAGTATAGAGTAATATTTCTTTTCTTTAGCATCTGTCGGTCTTTCCTGCTCTTCCGGAGTTGTAGGCTGGAAGCAATCCTCTGTTGTCGCTGCAGCTAATAAGGAAAACATGGTTGGACCTGTTACAGCCAGGTTGCTGGAGACCCAGGACTCGATCCCATTTATTATTTATTATTTTTTAATTTTTAGTGGTGTTTCGCTTGCATACATCTCTCTGTCTCTCTCTGTCTCTCTCTCTCTCTTTCTGTGCATCTGTGTGTGTTTCATACAAAGGCCAGAAGATGGTATCAGATATCTCAAACTGGAGTTAGAGACCATTGTGAGCCACCATGTGGGTGCTGGGAATTGAACCTGGGTCCTCTTGAAAAGTAAGCAGTGCTCTTAACTACTGAGCCATCTCTCTAAGCCCCTTGTTTTCTAAATTTAATTGAGCACAGCACCCTGTGTGTGTGCAGCATGTGTGTGGCGGTCAGAGGACAACTCTCAGTGGTTAATTCTCTCCTGCCACACTGTGGCTTCCTGGGACAGAGCTCGGGTCACCTGGTCTATGAGGAACCTCAGCCATCTCCCTGACCATGGCTCGTTTGGTTATGTTTTTGCTTTCAAATGAGATTTCCCTTCTACTCTGTAGCCCAGGCTAGCCTCAAACCTCCTCTCCTCCCGTCTCTGCTTCCGCAGTGCTGAGATTAAAATTGTGTGCCACCACACCCAGGTTATACCTCACCCATGAGCATGTTACCTATGGTCCCCAGTTTATACTCACAGATATGTCTTTGCTTTGGTACTTAAATTTCTTCAGCCTCCCTTCTGGAGCTTTTGAGGTAGCCATGTTGACTGGAGAAAAGACACCACCTGTAGATAGGAAAATCACCAAAGAGATTTTCCTTGCCTGCTGTGCATGTTAGCATGTTAAAGTCATCAGGCACCACAGGACCAGAGAGCAGACTCAGAGTTGGCTGCACACCCCAGACCATCACTGTAGGACATGTACTCTCTCAGCACACTGTAGCCACTGCGGGAACTGCAGGAACCAGTCCTGGATTTAGGACAGAAAACCCTTCCGGTGCAGCATCAGCTGGGACGCAGCTCAGTTGGGAGGGCTTGCCTAGCACACACAGGGCCCTGTCCATTCCTACTGCCATACAAACAACATGGTGGGGCGGTGGTGGCGCATGCCTTTAATCCCAGCACTTGGGAGGCAAAGGCAGGCAGATTTCTGAGTTCAAGGCCAGCCTGGTCTACAGAGTGAGTTCCAGGACAGCCAGCGCAACACAGAGAAACCCTGTCTCGAAAAAAACAAAAAACAAAAAACAAACAAAAAAAACCACAACATGGTGATACATGCCTGCAGTCCCAGCACCCAGGGGCAGAGGCAGTAGGATCAAGACTTCCAGAGCTTGGGGCTGAAAAGATGGCTTACTGCCTAAGGACACTTTTTTTCTACAGAGGATGCCGTTCAATTCCCAGCATCCAAATGGTGCTTCACAACCCTCCGTATCTCTAGTTCCATGGAACCCAGGGTCCTCTTTTGGCTTCCTTAGGCACCAAGCATGCACCTGGTTGGTACTCACAGGCAAAACATTCATACACATGCAGATAAAATATATCCAAGAAATTAAAATATGTTTTTCAAGACTATCCTTGGCTACATAGGGAAGATAAGGCCAGTGTAGACTTCATGAGAAAGTCTCATATGAAATACAAACACACAGCTTCGTTTGTACTGAGTCACTCATTGCCGAGGTGAGCTGGGCTGAAAACATGGATGTCCTTAATAGGCAGTGTGCAAGGATACCTGTATGTGATCGGAGGGAGGCCAGTCAGACCCAAGAGGAAGCTACACTTTACCCAACCCCCAACCCCCACACTCACTGTGTCAGAACCACCTTCAGCTCTGCCACAGCTAAGCTGTAGCCAATTTCCTCTGCCTGGTCTAGTACAGGGTATCAACAACTCTTTCCACATTTGACAGCCTTTGCCAAAGATTTCTGTTTTGTTTGTGTTGGATTGGTTTTGAGATAGGATTCTATTCTCTCCAGGCTGGTCTCAGGTCTCAATGCAGCTAAGGTGGGCTTGAGTCCTTCATTCTCTTTCACCTCCCAAGTGCTGACATTACAGGTGTTAGCTCCCAACACAGGGCTCACCGCCACACACGGCTCACCCAAGAAATTTCCTGTGACCCTTGCTCTATTGTTCTATAAAACAGGTATACAAGAGACATAACTCAGGGCAGCAAGGTGACTCTACAGCTGCAATGTTTGTTTGGCAAGAGCAAGCCTAGTGACCCGACTTCCATCCATAGAGCACAAAGTGCAAGCAGAGAACTCATCCCTTGAATGTTGTCCTCTGACCTCCTCATGTGTACATGGGTGCCCTCCCGTCTCTCCGCCCCCTCCACCTCTCCATCTCTCTCTTCTCATCTGAAAAAAATGATGTAAATCAAATATCGCTTACAATAAATCACGAACTTATTTTAAGCCTTTTTGAGAGGGTATAGTAGACTGGCCTCCAACTACTAGCAATTCTCCTGCCTCAGCCTTCAGAGACCCAAGGGATATTTAACTGCTACAACACTTGCCTAAGCAATTTATTTTAAAACAATTCTTGAAGCCAGGCATAGTGATGCACACCTGCAATTCCAACACTTGAAAGACAGAGAGCGAACCCTGCAATGTGAGGTCAGCTTGGTTCATAAAGAGCAGTGGTTCTCAGCCTTCCTAATGCTGGGACCCTTTAATAAAGGTCTCCATATTGTGGTGACCGCCCTCTATAAAATTATTTTCTTTGCTATTTCATAAGTGTAATTTTGCTACTGTTATGAATCATAAAAGTCTTCTGATAGTCTTTTTAGTTTTTTAATTTTTTTAATTTTTTATTTATTTTATTTTATTTTTTGGTTTGGTTTTTCGAGACAGGGTTTCTCTGTATAGTCCTGGCTGTCTTGGAACTCACTCTGTAGACCAGGATGGCCTTGTACTCAGAAATCTGCCTGCCTCTGCCTCCCAAGTGCTGGGATTAAAGGCGTGCGCCACCACTGCCCAGCGTCTTCTGATAGTCTTAGGCGACCTTTGTCAAAGGGTCACTTGATTCCCCCAAACTCAATCCGGAGGTTGAGACCCACTGATCTATAGAGAACTTCAGGCCAGTCATTTATGCAGTGATAACCTGTTCCAAAACAAACAAAAGGATTATATACATAAATTAATACTATTCATCAAAGACAGAGCAAGTTAGCCTGCTAGAGTGATAGATGAGGTTATTTTGCATAAAGCATTAACTATTGGCCTCCAGCTGTGCAAGCCCTCAGCAGGTAAGGGTGCTTACCATGTAAACCTGCTAACCTGAATCCCATTCACAGAAACCACCTAAGGTAAAATTAGAAATCAACTCCATAAAGATCAGAGGTTGTCACCTGACCTCTGCAACCCCACTATGGCATGTACACATCCCTTCCAACCCACACATATCACACACACACACACACATACACACACATGCACTAAAATTAATTTTTCTTTAAAAAAGCATTATATCAAAGACTGATAATCTAATTAAAGATTGAAATTAGAAGAGCATTTTCTCCTGGATTTGTGATGCTTCCAAGCCCCTGTAAAACGCAAAAAAGTATCAAGAGTCCAAAATCCCCACAAGGCAGGCAACAGCTGCAGTGCAGAGAGGCTTTATGACAGGCTGAAGGACTGGAGAGATAGCTCAGTGGTTAAGAGCACTGACTGCTCTTCCAGAGGTCCTGAGTTCAATCCCCAGCAAGCACATGGTGGCTCACAACCATCTGTGATGGGATCTGATGTCCTCTTCTGGTGTGTGTTTGAAGACAGCTGCAGTATACTCATATAAGTAAAAAAGAATAAATAAATCTTTTTTTAAAAGACAGGATGGATTGACAGGTCAGCAGTTAACAGCACTGGATTCCCAACACCCACATAGTGGTTCACAACCTGCTGTAACTCCAGTTCCAGGGAATATAATTATTTTTTTCCTCAGGTACCAAGCATTCATGCAGGCAAGACACCCACACACATACACTTAAAAACAGAAGAAAAGCTTTGCCTTCTCACTCCCCTCTAGGCTTCCCTTTAAAGCCTCACTCAGCGGGTTCCCAGCCCTGTTCACAATGCTTTCTTCAGAGCAGATCATGGGACAGCTAGTGGCTTGGCAGGGAATGGCCATGTTGAATTTACCAGAACCCACAGAGGTAATTATTTGGAGAGATAGCTTAGCTGTTAAGAGGGCGTGCTGATCATGTCCAGAACAGGAGGTCTATACCTGATACCGACAATGGTGGCTCCCAACCACTTACAACACCAGTGCCAGGAAATCTAACCCCATTTCTCACTTCTGCAGGAAGCAGGACTCACATGTACACCCCACCCACATACTACATGATGGAAATACAATATTTCATAGAAGATACAGATCTCAAAGCAGACAGTGATACACACCTAAAATCCCAACACTAGAGAAGTAGAGTAGAAGAATCAGGAGTTCGAGGTAAGCCTCATACTTTGGAAGCTCTAGGATAGAGTAAGCTACATGAGACCTTGCTTTAATAGAAACCAAGTCAAACCTCACCACCTGAGTTTGATCCCTAAGACACACAAGGTAGAAGATGAGAACCAACTTCTATAGGTCATCTGCTTGCACACACACACACACACGCACACGCAGGCACAGAGTAAATCTTGGGGAGACACACTGATCTGTGCTGTGGTTTTCCTCTGTATCTGCACCTGGAATCCTGATGTTGGAAGTCTCCTCTGTGTCACTAACATCCACTTCCCTCCAAGTAGCAGATACATGGTGACCATGAACTGGATAGGACTGAGCAGGGTTTATCCCCTGTGGAGCATGCTAGTGATCTTTTCCTTAAGGTATCCCAGCCTACTTTCTGAGGCCATCTGGAGCAAAGGCAATACAGGACAATAGGAGGCTTGGGAGATGTACCACGGAGCTCCAACCCATGTCTTGGCTTCCCTATTATGGTTTCTTCCGTTTAGACACAACAACCCAGGAGTTCCGGGCACCAAGTTCATCACTGAGAAAACACACAGCAAGGCTGCCCATGGCAGTCCAGTAAAGCACAGGTGGACAGGCAGCCTGGTCCTCTACTTAGGTGATTAAACCTCTTGGGACTATGGGATACTGTTTGGAGAGGAAATGGTCAGGCCGGCAGGACCACAGGTAATCTTGCTTGGGAGCCAGGAGAATAGGCAAGACATAGGATACCAGAGCGCTAGGCTGCTGTTTGGAAGACTCTACTAAAATAAAGCCACCAGAAAATTCAAAGTAAAAAAATTTTTTTTTTACTTATAATAAGTAAAATTAAATGCACTAGAAGACGGGCCTGGTAGCCCAGGCCTCAAACCTCAGAACTTTAGAAAGTGAAGCAGGGGGATTGGGACTGTGAGGCTAGCCTGGTCTACCTAGGGAGACATGACCTCAAAAGGGAAAAACGGCACCCAGATGAGCGAACTTGTTGCACATTAGCCCCAGCCACCTTCAGTATGTCCTCAACATATTAGCCCAGAGTTGGGGAAACTTGCCTAACACAAAAAAGGCTATTTTATAATAAACTTGTCTGCATATGATAGCTTATATCTGGGCTTAGCAGAGTGTACATGTATCCAGGAGTTCTTGCTTCCTATTTGGCTGCCATAAGGACATTCTTAGAGTCAAGTGTCATAAGCCAGAGCTGACTTCAACCAGGAGACACAGCAGTCTACATATGCTTACGGTAGCCTGACTTTTACATCCTTAGAAGAGGGTAGAGCCCAGACAGTCAAAGGAAGAAGAGTAAGGAGCCTAGTCAGTCCGGATGCAGGCA